TTATAAAAAGGTAAACGTGCATATCCTAACTATAGATTCCGCTGCGTTAGAATTTATTTCGATAAAGTTCAATGCTGTGCATGTTGTTTGACGTTCCTAACAGAACCCAACATTGGAGGGCCCCGATAATTAAAGATTTGAAGGAGGGAGTGGTTAAAGTGATAATAAGGTTCTTTGAACATGAATGGATCTTGTACAAAAGATCACATGCTGGGCCGCATTTGCGATGTGTGACCAGAGAGGAAGGGCGATATGTGCTGAGGGAAATCCATGAGGGGTGGTGTAGTGATCACAACAAAGCAGGCTCCTAGGTGGCAAAAATTCTAAGGGCAGGATATTTTTTGCCGACGATAAGAGAAGATGCGAAAACAATGGTAAGAAGGTGTTTGTAGTGCCAAAAGCATGGTCCGCTCATTCATCAACCAACCGAGGCAATGACGACGATGAGCGCTCCTATCCCATTCGCCCAATGGGGTATCGATCTAGTGGGACCAATGCCCTAGGGAACCGGACAAAGAAACTTCTTGATTATTGCAGTCGATTACTTCACAAAGTTGGTGAAGGCTGAACCTTTGGCCAAAATCACGGAGGAGGAAGTGATAAATTTTTTATATAATAACATCTGTTGCACGTTCGGAATCCACAAGGTGTTGGTGTTGGATAACGAGACCCAGTTCATGGCGAGCAGATTCGAGCATGGTGGTGAGGACATGAAAATCGAGCAACACTTTGCTTCAGTCGCTCATCCACAAGCTAACGGGAAGGTCGTGGTGACCAACAGGATTATACTAAAGGTCTCAAAACAAGGCTGGAGAAGGCATCGGGTGTGTGGGTGGATGAACTCACTTCGGTGCTATGGGCATAAAAATTAACGCCCCGATCGACCACTGGAAAAACACCGTTTAGTCTGGTTTATGGAATAGAAGCTTTGTTGCGGTCGAGGTTAAGGTCCAATCCCAAATATCGAGCACATATGATCGAGAACAGAATGAACACTTGATGATGGAGACTCTCGATACAATTGACGAGCTTCGAGAAAAAGCCTCAATTAGGGATGAGGCGTACAAGCAAAGTATGCAAGCAACCCATGACCGAAAGGTAAAAGTGCGGAGGTTCCAGGGGGAGACCTAGTCTGGAAAAGAATCGATGTGCTGAAACACGTCAGAAAACTGGAGCCGAACTAGGAAGGACCATACCTTATCGAAAAGATCCATACTGGAGGGGCATACTCCTTAAAGGATGCTGAGAGAAGATCTTTGGCCATGTCATGGAATGTGGCTGACTTTAAGAAAATATTATGCTTAAAATTTTCCTTTTATTTATGAAGAAATTTGCTGGAATCAATGTAAGAAATCCCTTTATTTAACAATTAAAGAAATGGCACATTGAAACTTCTACAACTTATTGTCTATCGAATTATTTTATGGCTGGAATGTCTGGATTTACCCTGATGACAGGTCACCTACAAAAATCCATCATGACTAAGGCCGAGGGGCTAGACTGTCGCATGTTATGACTACCCCCTCGAGGGTGGGCATGTGTTCGAAGACAAAAATCCATCATGACTAAGGCCGAGAGACTGGATGGTCGCATGTAACGACCACCCATTCGAGGGTGGGCATGTGTTTGAAGACAAAAATCCATCATGACTAAAACCGAGAGGCTGGATGGTCGCATGTAACGACCACCCCCTCGAGGGTGGGCATGTGTTCGAAAGCAAAAATCAATCATGACTAAGGCAGAGAGGCTGGATGGTTGCATGTAACAACTACCCCCTCGAGGGTAGGCATGTGTTCGAAGACAGAAATCTATCATGACTAAGGCCGAGAGGCTGGATGGTTGCATGTAACGAATACCCCCTCGAGGGTGGGCAAGTGTTCTAAGACAAAAATCCATCATGACTAAGGCTGAGAGGCTGGATCGTCGCATGTAACGAACACCCCCTCGAGGGTGGGCATGTGTCCGAAGACAAAAATCCATCATAACTAAGGCCGAGAGGCTGGATAGTCACATATAACGACTACCCCCTCTTGGGTGGGCATGTCTTCGAACACAAAAATCCATCATGACTAAGGCCGAGAGGCTGGATGGACGCATGTAACGACTACCCCCTCGAGGGTGGGTATGTGTTCGAAGACAAAAATCCATCACGAATAAGGTCGAGAGGTTGGCTGGTTGCATGTAACGACCACCTCCTCGAGGGTGGGCATGTGTTCGAAGTATGAAATGCACAGTATGAACAAAGAGAGACTAGCTTAGGATAACATTTCACGAGGCTAGAGGGTCACATGCGTCGACCACCTATGAAGGTTGGCATATGCTCAAAGTTTAAAACCCATCATGTTTAAGGCCACGAGACTGTATAGTCGCATGTGTCGACCACCGCTGAAGGTGGGCATGCGTTCAAAATTTGAAACCCATCATGGTTAAGGCCACGAGGCTGGATGGACGCATGTGTCGACCATCTCTGAAGGTGGGCATGTGTTCAAATTTTGAAACCCATCATGTGTAAGGCCATGAGGCTGGATGGTTGCATGCTTCGACCACCTCTGAAGTTGGGCATGTGTTACAAATCATATTGATAATAATTGATTGAAAGTAAGTGTGCAAACACAAACGCATGTGCGCAAACAAAGACATATCAAGTTACAACATTTAGTTACCCAGTTGAATAGTTAGTCAAGATTATCATATCGTAATACGAGTGAAGATAAAGTGAAGTAACAGAAATGTTTCAAACAAAATATTTGCATTACGAAAGATGATAATAGTTCGACAGAAATACAAGGTTCATCAAAATACAAATTACAATTTCAATCAAAAATGCAAAACTAATCTATGGAAGAAGAGCGGCAGCAGAGTCTGCATTGTTGGAAGAGGCGTGTGACTCGAGCGGCTGATTGGTCCCAGAGGTTGAATCGCAAGCCTCATTAAGAAGACGTGGTCGAATAGACTCAACGAGGGCGATTAACATGGGAGCTGGAGGGGTCATACCAACGGGCAAAGAAAAAGTATTCCTTAAAATCTCAGATCGAGCCAGAGTTCTTTCGAGCATCCCCGACCACCACTCGTGCTCGAGTTGTACGCTAGGATCACCGTGGAAGCTAGGAGGTACCTTGGGTAAGGCGTCCCAGATGGCTTCCTGGTCGAGTTGATCGAAGTCATCCTCAGCAATCTACTCGCTTGCCTTTTGCAGGGCGAACTGGAAACAGTCCACCCCGAAGTCTTGAACCTCCTTCAGATATTGTGTTGACTGCACGAAGTCAGCCACCACTTGAGCACGGTACTCTTGGAGGAAGAGTTGCCCACAGGTGGTAGCCCACATCATTTTTTGAGCTCGAAGAGCAGCAGCATCAGCGTAGCGTTTGAGTTGTTGAGCATGGGCAGCCTTTTCCTTAGCCAGAGTGGCCTCCAGCTCAACTCGAGCAGCTTCTGCCTGTTCTCGAGCAGCCCGCTCTTGCTCGTGCGCCGTCTCCTTCTCTTATAAGGTAGCCTCTTTCTCCGCCACTGCCACTTCCTTCACCGCGAGAGCTTTATCCTTTTTAACGAGCTCTTCATCAAGAGACTTAACCTTGACTTCGAACTCGGCCTTTTGCTTTGTTTGGGTCTCGCGGAGTTTAGTGTTGTGGTGCAGGAGGGTGGCATTCTTGTCGTTCACAAAACGGAGGACCTCTTCGAGACTCTTGATGGACTTCCTAGAGCTATCTCGAGCTTCATTGGCAAAGGGCAGGAATTTAACCAAGCCCTATAATCAAAGAAAACGGAACGGTTCAATACATATATAACAAGAAAAATGATTAAAAAAGATTGGAACAATCATAAAACGAGTATTACCTGGCCAAGCCATTGCACGAGCTGGCGCCAACCTCCGGTAGAGTGACGTTGGCTCTTTTGAGGTTGTCCTCGAGTAATGAGCCCTCGAGGCGGTCAACCACCTCATTCACGGGGGCTGACAGTAGTGGGGAAGACTCAGAGGCTAAAGGGTTAGGGGGGAAGTGACTGGTGCGCACCCGTTTCCAAACTGATTCCAGTTGGTCGGTGCGAGGACGTTTTCCTAGGGCCACGTCACACCCTAGATTGTCCTGGCCGCTGGACTCAACCATGGCATTGGTCGAATCAGCGGCATCTAGGGTTTTGGATGGTTGGTCAAGAGGAGGTTTTTCCTGTGTTTCGGTTTTGGAGGAGGTATGATTTTCGGAAGAAGACTTGTCTTTGGTTTTAGTATTGGAGGTAGTGATTTGGCTGTTGGTTTTTTGTGAGGAGGATTGGCTGTTACCATTTTTGGAGGTGGTCGAGCTCTTGGCTCCAACCTTCTCATAGTCGGTCGAGGTTTTGGTCCCAGTCTTATCAGGGGCGTTGTGAGTTTTGTTGTCGGTCTTTTTAGTAGGAGGTTAAACAATGGTCTTGGATGGGAGGGGTGGAGTTTGTCGCTCTTGTTGGCGCTGTTGGTGTGGTTGCTTCTGCGGTTGTTGTTGTTGTTGTTTCTGTTGCTGCTGTTGTTGTTTTTGTGGTTGTAGTTGTGGCTGTGGCTGTTGTTGTTGCTGAGGTTGTGGTTGAGGAGGTGGTGGAGGTTGTTGCTACGGCTCTGGGTGAGGGGGAGTGGTCGAACCCTCGACCTGATGAGCCTGATCGTCGGTCGATCCAGAGGTGGTCCCGGACTTTTTCTTAAGAGGAGTCTTCCTCAGCGGGATGTTGAAGCTAGGTACCTCTGGAAAAAGACAACAAAAAAGTAAAATCAACATTGACAAGACACATCTATATGAAGAACAAAGGAACGCATGAACACTCGACCTAATTGGTCGAAAATTACCTTGATCATCCTCAATCCTAATTAGATTGAGGACTTCGTCGGTTGGAGGAGATAAGACCTTGTGGGTGAGAAAACCGCAGTAATGGAGAAGGTTGTCATTTTTAAAGAGAGGGATTGACGCAACGGGTTTGGAATTCCAAACGTGAATCCGTTGGTCGAAAAGAGGGTGAGGAGAAGGGTTCAACATTTCTGCAATCTCTTAGGGAAGTTCCTTGAGCCAAGAAGAAGGGGCTCAAGGAAAAGGAGTATCGGGCTCGACCTAGGCAAAAGTATCGGCCCATTTAGGGATGTTCGAGGGAATGTCAGAAATGAAGTGGGAGTTATTACGGCTTTTTAGGTAAAGGCCTCGGGCTTGTTTGGAAGGGGCGTAGCAATAATGGAAGAAGGCCAGGTCGAACTGACCTAACCGAATACGGGATAAGATTATGAAGGTGGTCATTAAGAGAATGGAGTTTGGAGAAAGCAGGTCTAAGGGAAGATCGAACTACTTGCAGATGTGGAGTAGACCGTGGCTGAGAGGGAAACAGATGCCGAGGTCGGATTAGTTTTTTGAAGAAAGTGTAGCAGTTGGAAGGAGGGCGATCATAGGTATCAGAGGGATAAGGACGATAGAAGCCCCAGCCGGAAGGAAGACCAACTTTGTCACCCTCTAGCCAGTTGATTGAATGAGAAGCAGAGGAGGTAGATTTGGAAGATTTGGTCGAGGATTTTTTGGATGGAAAGGTGGATGCAGTAGGCTGAGAAGAAGAAGGAGGAATGGTCGAAGGTGTGGGAAAGATAGGTTGAGAAGAAGTGTTGGTATTAACCTCGTCCTCCTCAGGCTCATCTAGTGAGCCACAGGTCGACGATGCCGGAGGGGAATGTTATCCATGGTATCCCCAGAATTAGGAGAAGAAACTCGGGCTCTAAAAACGACCGAGAGAATGGTATCATCGGGGCGAAGGATGGAGAGAGGAACAACTTCGAGTGCAGAGGGCAGTATTTGAACGGAGTCAGAAGAGGTGGTCGAAAAAGGAGATGGAGGGCTCCAATCAATACCAAAAGTCGCAGAATCTGGGAAAAGCAAAACAAAAGCGAAATTAAAAAGGGAGGAAAACTTTCGCAAAAAGGTAAGACCTTAAAAAACTAGGGTTCTACGAGGAGGCGATTTTAAAGAAATTAAAGAGGGAGAATAGGAATTTCGGAAGATTTTCAAACAGAGGAGCAAAATTCACAATGATTAACAAGCAAACAAAGATACCCAACATAAAAATTAAGAACACTCAGTCAGCAAGTTCGAGATACCCAGTTCAGAAAATTCATAAACGCAAAATCTAAGACACATGAAACGTAAATTCATGCGAGGAACAACTTACTCATAGTCGCAAATGAAGAAATCGAGAAAGCCAGAAAAGTGCAAGAGAAATCTCCGAGAAGAAAAGCAAGGGTTGCCGGAAAATTTCAGAGCACAAAGGGTTCAAAAATCACAAAGGTCGAAAAACTCTGAAATGTCGCTAAGTACGGGTTTTATACCTTGGTAAGTTAAAGGGTTGAAAGATAAGAGCCGCCGGATTAAAGCCACATCGTACAGTGGAGAGTATTAATTCACACAGAGCTCAAAGTGGGTGCGTTATGCGAGGCGGTCCAATTATTAAAGCGACTGACAGAAGTGGCGGGTGTGACGTGTGGCAGAAAAGCAGGCGCAAAAGAAAGAACGTGTGACAGACGACTTTATTTTTGACAATTAATGAAGAATTAATTGAAAAAGTGAGTGGGAAACTCATCGGATGGTCGATACCGAATGAAATACAACCCAGGAGAATTCCGTGCACAATTCACTCTTAGATCGAGTCATTCAGACTCGACCAGAGTGAGGGGATTAGATGATATAGGATATTATACCCACACGGCTAAACCAGTCTACTGAACCGGTCAAATAGGCTATACTGTGACGAAACTGAGCCAAGTGGTAGGAAAATTGACCAGTCAGCCAGTCGATCAGCCAACTAGTCAACCAATCTATCATTCGACCATGTGAACGGTCGAGCAGTTCAGTCGACCTCAACCGGTCGACCACTTCGCGGACTTAACGCTTTATGGATCGGCCTAGTCATAGGCGCGTGTAAGAGCCTCTAATGGAATTCCAGAAAAATATTCACTCCATGTGCGGAAGGACACGTGTCGAGAACACATTGGTTGATAGCGACAACCACCTCTGACAGCTCCGAACGTCCTGCGCCACCTCTGACAGGTGCGCGGCGTGTCAGAGTACGGACGGACATCTTGGGCAGCCAACTCACCAAATCTGGGCAACCATAGGTCACGTATATCACCCCTATATAAAGGGGGTGAGCCTTTCTTCCTTAACACGATCATTCTATTACTCACTCTTGAGAATTGATTGAATACACACTAACTTAAGCTTTGAAGGCTCTTCACCGAAAAACTCCTCCAGTGTGAGAGTTCTTTGTAGGTGCACGATGTTCAACCGGCGAGAAGGAAGACGATTATTTGGGTTCTAGACGGTCAGGAAGTTTTGTGCTACCAGTGTGTACAAGAAAATCAGTGGCAGCGTTGTGGTGTTTCTTGTACTTTACGTAGATGACTTACTTCTTATTAGAAATAATGAGCTATCAGACGTAAATGTGTGGTTGTCTAAGCCATTGTTCTAAAAATCGGACTGGACCAGCCGGTTCGACCGGGAACCGGCCTTCATACCTGTTCAGTTCAGTGCATTGAACCGTCGAGCCGTTGAACCGGCAAAACACCGCTTAAACTGGCGTAAAACCGGTTGAACCGGAGAACCGCTACCGGTTTCAATGGAGAAGAGATTACAAAAAAAAAGACCCTAGTTTTGTTCTTTTTTGTCTGAATTCAATCTAAAAGTTGAAAACCGAACCAGTATCTGAAAGAATTTGAAAGTACAAAATCATCCTACTCGTGTTCTTCATCTTCTACATTCTAGTAGTCTTCTCAATCTGTGACCATTGACCAGTGCTCTGCAATAATGCTTTTCCTTTAAATATGTGATTTGGTTTTCAAAATTAGGAAGGAGAAATGGCTTTTGGTTTCTCACTTGCGTGTTCGCCTGTAGAAGAGGAAGTGTCCATATGAGATTGAATTGTTGGAGTATTGAGTTTGTTGGGCGTCTTAGTGGATGAGTAGTATGATCTATGGACTTCCGAATTGTTAGAATTACAATAGTATTTGGACTTGAAAGATATCAATTATTCTATTATAAGCTTAAAAGTTTTAAAACGTAAAAGTCCCTTATTCAATGTAATCGTGACAAGTTGGACGATGTAGCTCCGGTGTAATAACCCAGTTTGTTATTAATAAAAATGATGTATTTCCTTTTATTAATATTGTTCATTTTCAACTTTCGAGCCAATAAGTTTGACTTTAAGTCGAAAAACTATTCGGTTTATTTTATTAACCGAGTTCATTTTGATAATTAGTTCCGAAACGTTTATTTTATAAATGGACATTATTAGTCGGGATTAATTATTCGAAGTCAAGATTATTCGAATTAATTTTCGAAGTCATTTCTGACCGAATTCGAGTAAATTCGGTCAAGATCATATATCAAGTCAAAGTAACAAGTTTAAGTCATGCGCACGCCTTGTGCGTTACCATGCGCATGAACGCGCGCACCAAGCCATCGTCATTGTCGTGCACAATGCACGCTAGTACAGTGTGCGCGCGTCGTGCGAAGAGCACCGTCAATCACTTACTTATACTTAAGTATCATGAGAAGCTTAATTAATCCAAGTCTTATATCCACATGATTGTCGTGAGTTTAGTAAGGCATGGATAAATATTGTGCAAGTTGCTCATGGTGACTCACCTAGTAGCTTGAGGTTATGTGGCATGACCTTAGACATCACTTGATAACCAAGCAATTTGGCTGCCACCTAGCATGATGACTAGGTAAGAAAAATGACACCAAGCTCACGGTTGAGGCAAGTGTCTCCAAGACTTAGCCATATTTCCATTGTTTCTCCTATTTATTTAAGTCATGGCCGTGAGAAATATTCCTCATGCTAATACCATGCAAAGCCGAGTATTAGTCGTAGAATATTAACAGAACATTGAGAGAAAAACGATAGTACATAAAGAGTATAAGATAGTAAGTGATCTTGCACTAGCCATTGCCGAGGGAAGCTCACGCCAACGCCCACGCCGAGCAAGCACACGCAAGTCATAGCAATTTCATCGAGTAATTGGAGGGGAATACTCTTATTCACCCTCTTTTAGTATTTTTGTGCCCACATTAAGAACATCATGTAGCAATCATGTCAAATAGTTCATGTTTAATGTCATAAGTGCACTCGGAGGTGCTATATAAGCCCTCCCGAGCCAAGTCAAAACCTAGCCGAACACTTTCTAGCAATTTATGTGTTTTCGGTCATTATATGTCATTTCATGTTAGTCCATGTCATCGTTGCCAGAAAAAGTGGTCGGACGGCCAGCGAGGTGCCGACCGTAGTGCGTGTCCGCACACACCGGGCAGCGCAGACGGCAGTAGCCTACGAGCATACGGCAGCACGCGCACGCCCATGATGCGGAAGTGGGTTTTGAGCCACGACGACAAGAAGGACCAAGAGCCGAGACGACCGAGGAGGCTAAAAATAGGGCCAAAACGACGCACGCATGGCCCAAGAGGCGGGTAC